CAATTTGGTCTGGGCCCGAGGTGGGCTTAATAGCCGGCGACTACTGTACTTGGGATTTTAGCCTGATAATTGTAGTGTCCTAAGCGCAACCACTACTTAGACCGCTACATAGTCACCAACCTGACTCGTTATTACCCCTACGAAATCCTTAATTCCTAGGGCGATTATGAAAGTGATGGTTAAGGCTTCCAGAAGGTAGAGTAGGACCCTTAATTGAGATTCAATGCGGAAGACAACAGTATTACAGCATGTTCCGGCACGAGCTAACGACGGAGAGTGCATCTTACAAAGTTCAGTGTCAAAAGGAGAAAACTGATCCTCTTAAAGACTATGTTTAACTGCGACGCGGACTGGTTTCTAAAACATTGATAGCAAAACACGGTGGCAAGCATATCAAGCTGCACGCGAGCAAACTCAAAACTGACCATGGGAGGGCGGGGGGAGCGAATTCGCTACTTGAAGCAACAAGCAGCAAACATATCCTTCGTGGTGGTAGACCGCTTGGGAATCGTGGCAAAGGTATTTTAAGTAGTGCACCTTATATACCTCTAGTCCCAGCATTTTGTCCTATGCAAACGGTGCTTATTGGGATATTGGGGATGGAAAAATAGGATAGGCAGTGAAGACAATTAGTAGAAATAAATGTAAAGTGGAAAAATGTAGTTGAATTTGTTTCCCGCGGCCGCTGGGAGTAAGGTGTTCCGCATGTCAATTGAAGGTGTGCGCGGCGCTTCCCGCCGCGGACTATACAAATCTAATACCAGAACGGTAAGTTGGACCTCAGGAAAGATGAAGTAGAAGACCTCATAATCATATTTCTATTTTTTCGGGAATTTAAAGAAACCGGCACTTTGATGATCGGGTTTTTCCGCAATACGTTAAACAATTATAGGGATTAGGAAAATCTGCAGATATCAATCAACAACATTTCCAAAAACAATAAAATATCAATGCATATAGCAGTTATTCAAGTATATTCCACTGCCTACCTTAAGTCCCCAACCATAAAACCCCTAAAACCACCGTCTCCGTAGGATGAAATATTGGGACTAGGGATATATGAGGTGCTCTACTTAAACTACTGTTGCTGGAATCGTACTTCCGCCGAGAACTATCTGGCGTTAGAACCTATAAAATACAAACGAACTGTCCGCCCAAGACGCTTTAAAAGGTGTAGGGTAACCGCGTGCGCACATAATGAAGATTGAAACGTCAACTTACAGGAGGAGTGTATGTTTGCGGAGTCACCAGATCCTTCAGGAAAAGGCGGCGCATGGGTTTAGTTGATTTGCGTTTGCGAGCCGCCTTAGGCGATGATGAAGGTTTCGGCGGGAGCTGATTGTCCGTGGTCGGCTCATCTGGCAGCTAGAAAAGAAATCACTGACATATTAGCACTACTTAAACGCATATGGAATCTGGGGATTGGACGTTGTGCTAAAGTGCGAGGGGGGAAACTATCATCGTGTTCCAACTTGAAGACCAGCGGAACTCTCCTAACCCCGCCCCTCACGTCCCCCTGGAAATTAACACTAACACTACGAGAAATCTTTATACCCTGCAATATGAGGGGTCTTCAACGTAAGCCAACGTAGCAACAAGGTCTGATCGAACACCAGAGGGGATGACCGCGTCTTTATTGTCATTGCCAATCATGACTATCCGAGAGGACAGTTGACATTCTGAGCCCTAATCTGCAAGAATGAATGGAAGTTGGGTTAAGTGTCTGCGCGCTCTCATGTGACAACCGGCACCGGATGGTTCACTCGGCGGCGCAAGCAGGGTAGAACACCACCGCTCTGGACAGGGCGCAGCAGCGAATTGCGCGCGAAATTGTTTACGTTAAGGAGAACTCACACAGCAT